AAGGAAGAGAACCAGAGTGCAGTGAAAGGAACAATTTTTTCCTCCAGTCCCACAGAATCAGAGCCAAAGAAGGAGAAGAGAATAAAGGCCAAGTCCTTGTGCAGTCCCTAACCTCCACAGGAAGGTGCAGGCTGTCAAAAGCCCCCAGGACCTCTGGAGCTGATGTCATGTACTGTGATGTCATGTAGCAGTGCTTTCAATTCCCCACAGCACAGGCTGAATGTCTCTGAGCGGCACTGGTTCAGGTGGGCTTGATCCCCTCTTAGAAGCAGAGCACCTTGGTCTGCCCCGTGTCCCCTTGCTGGCTGCCTGCACTGCTAACCAACCCATAGTCATTGTCCTTTACACGCATGCACATAACTTGGGTGACTGCACAAAACTTTAGGAAATAGGAATAATGCTTCTCCAAGTTCTTACATGAAAGACGATACAGATACACAATGAATGATTATTTTCACATCTTCCTTCCATGCTATGATTTTGCTCCAGACCTACAAAAGGAATTCTCTATGCCCACTGAATAGACACCAGGACTTTCACATCCTGTGCATGCTTGAAAACACGAAGTTAGGAGAAGTCCTCCCTCCTTTTCCCTTCTTGGTAAAAAATAACATTTCACTTCCAAGAGATCCTTGCTTAAACTTGGGAGTTTGGTTCTGAATTCAACAGGATCCCATCCAATTCTCTCAGCACCTTGAGCTTCCTGATACAACCAGAATGCAAACTGACGACTGACCAAATGCAAACTGACGACTGACCACTGATGAATCCTGCAAGGACTTGTATCTCTGTCACAGTCCAGAACAAACTGAACTACACATGAGGCAGGTGAGAGCAAGAACTGGGCTCAAATCTCAAGATTAGATTTAAGGAAGAAAGTTTGTACAATGACGATAATGAAACTCTGGCCAAGGTTGTCCAGAGAGGTGGTGAATTCCATATCTCTGGAAACATTCAAGGTCAAGTTGAACAGGGCTCTGAGAAACCTGATCTAGTTAAAGATTTACCCTGCTCATTTCAGGGTAGCTGGACTAGATGAACTTTAAATGTGCCTTCTGTCCCAAATTATTCTATGTTTCAAATCTGGGACAGGTACGTTTCTGGTTTGAGCTGCCCGGAATTTAGAATTATGGTCTAAATCTGCTCTGGAATTAGCCAAGGATCTGAAAAAAGCCAGTTAAAATTCCTAACAGAGCCTGGATTAGAACTGAATTTCCCTGAATTATCTTAATAGAAACAATAGGTGGTTAGTTCAGGTAAATGAATGTCAATCTAATACTCTATTTTATTTATTAAAGAGTAAAAATAAACAAAGAAAACAGGAAAGGAATTCCAAAGCCAACTGTGTGGCTTACCTGGCTCTGGTACACCTAGCTCTGAAGTCTACTAGTAAATGTAGACTAAATGACCCTACAAACATTACTGTGAAGAAACACAAGGCATCCTGGTGATACTAGCTCCCAGCACCAAGGGACAGAGGAAGGGATTAAAGATTTTCTCAAGGCAGAAAGACATTTCAGAAGAGGCAAGGAGATGCTTGATGGGGGTAGGGGAAGAATGGTTAAAAAACTAATAACATGTACAGATAAGCCATAATTGTCACACTCATAGCTCTGTGCTCCCATGTAAAGATGAATTACTTTGGCTGTCTGCAACTTCATTAGCCAAAAGAGGCCATTCAGATGGACTCAAACCTATTTACTTTCCAGAGCTGGTGGTGCCTGCTTCATATTGCAGGGCCCCACATTGGTTGTTCAATGATGCTGATAAGTCCTGTGGGAGCTTACATCCTGCTAAGTACTTCACTGTTTAATTGAACTGACCTTTCCTGACGAAGCCCCTTGTATTAAAAGCTGCTTTGCTCCCCAGTGAAAATGGTTTGATAATCATAATATTTTACTCAGAGGACAGTTGTTTAAGAGCAGAAAATAATCAGCTAAATTGGTAGGCTCCCCTCTGGAGGGGCCCAGGACTAAAATGACAGAAGATGCTGCGGATCAAGATAGCTGGCAGAGCTGATGATGCGGACAGAGCTCGGAGCGGCACTGGGCTGCTCAAGGACAGAGACACCAACAAGCTGGACAGCTGGGGAGGGGAGTGCAGGCTGAGCCAGCACTGCACACTCTGCTCAGAGCTGAGATGTGCTGGCACAGCTTGAGCTGGGCATGGGGTGGGCGATGGCACCTGCGGGAGCCACAGCTGGAGGGGCAACTCCATGCAAGCCCAGCAGTGCAGGACTGTGGAGTGCAGCAGCACTGAGGGACATAGCATCTCAAGCTGAGATGGGGAAATGGCACAACACTTCCCTCTGTGGAAAAGGCATCCGTCTCAGAGAGAGGTCTGTCTGAAATAATAAATGCACACCAAATTCAGGTTTGGTTTACGAGCGCTTTGGAGACTGAGATTTGAAGCTGAGATTTTCTTGAACAGAGGACCCATTGGCTTTCAGACCATGACTGGCCTGGGGACAAAGAGGTTTGAAGTGGGAGGAATGTTTGCCAAAAGCCTTTTTTCTCCCTGTTTTTATCCAGGCTAGTTGCCTTACCAGATGGTTGAGCAGCATCTGGGAGAGCTCTTTGGGGCTGGGAGCCAAGGGTGTGCAAAGAAGCACATCAATGCAGACTGTTAAGCACCCGATAACAAATGATGCTTTGCTTTCAACTTCCTGTTATAAAGCATTTGCTGGCCTGAATGTGCTCTGCTACACCTTGCCTTTCCCAAGTACAGCAATGTGTCAATTTCCAGTGCTTTTTATACAGAATTGGCATTTTGTGGATCTCTCAAGTCACAACTAGAGTACCACATCACTTTCTCCTGTTCTTCCACTGCAGGAGTATCGAACTATTTTTCTCAGATCAGCCAACACTTTTCCTTCCTTGTGGTGGCTCAGACCTGCAGGCACTCAAAGAATGTGCTGTTGAGTAAACTAAATTTTTTCTTGTTCTTTACTTACAAGGACATTTCAGTTGTTTTCCTCTTTGTGCTAAAGCTACTCAGGACAGGACAACACTCGTATTTTCCCCTCCCACAGAGGGTGTTTTGATTAGCTGTATCTGGTTGAGTCCCGAGGAATGTGGGATGTGTGGGAGCTCCCATGGACTCCTGGTGCCAGGGTGCTGAGATAAGGCAGCTGCTGCAGATTCATGGATGAGAGCCTTTGCAGTGGCAGGGCTGACCTGTGAGAAACACCATGGCAGGTCCTGGGAGATTTACTGCACCCTGGGGCCATCTGCATTGGCTCCCATGAAGTGGATATGCAAACAAAAACTTCCCTTCTCCAGGATGAGCCAGAAAAAATCTCTACCAGGGCACTGCACCCTTCAGCAATGTCCTGCTTTTTCCTGCTTGTGTTAGAACACCTTCTCAGCTATCCAGTCAAGCAGTAACAAACAGCCTGCTGGGCCTTTGGAGAGCTTCCAGAAGCCCACTGCCCAAGAAGGTAACTGGGTTCACCTTCCACACTGTGCTATCCTCTCTTGAGGATTCAATAGATTCAATCTCCAAGATAACCATAGCTGGCCCTTGAAGGTCTACCTTTGCCTCATATTTCTGTGTCCATGAACCACAACAGATGAATTGAAGAGATCTGTCAGTGTAAAAATCCACTGAAATAAAATCAACCCAAGGAGCTAAAATTGCAGTTTAACTGCCAGGGCTCCAGCTTGATTTTATCAACTCTCCTTTGAATGGCAATTACATTGTGAACTGATCAGTTCAAGGCTAAATCCTCTGTGTCTTCTTCTAATTAAATACTCATCATCTAAACATTCGTCTTATTCTTAGTACTTCTACTTATCAATTTAATCAATTCCCCCATTACTCACCTATCTACTTTAGCCTGCATTTTGCCATTATCATTTTTTTCAGGTGATGCATGCAGTTCTTTTTCACTACAACTGCCAAGCAAAGACTACATCTTATCCAGAATGTCTTCACACTCCTGTATATCTCAGCTTTAGAAAGGGCATTTAAGTTGCCTGATATTCACAGGGGACTGCCCTGAAACGTCGTGCACATTCCTTCTCTGCTGGCCCCAAGGAGCAAGACTGCATTCAGGAAAATAAGAGTATTTGATGCTGGTTTGAAAAATTCATTGCCTAACCTTGTATAAGTGGTCCAAAACATCTCCCCTGAGATGAAAGTATTTTGTTAGTGGAGCATTTTGAAGAATTGCTTTTGAATGCCAATTAAAAAAATCCCCAAACCCAGGAATTCTTTCCATTTGCTTTTGGTAAATAATAAAAATTATTATGAGGAGGATATATTTTCATTGTGTCCCTAGTAATATTTGCCAAATGATCCCTTCTTCATTTTTCTTTTTTAAAAATTAGAAAATTATATTTTCACTTTCCAGAAGGTTATGCAGCTTTACCCTAGCTTATAGCAGTTTTTCTCAAATTATCTGTTTTCCTCAAGGCATTTTCCATGTACAGTTTATCTGTAAAAATTTCCCTGATAAATCTGGAGCCTTAGGAGGAAGGATTAAGCTCATTGCATTGCCTACTGTCCTATCATTACTCTAAGGTATTGTCTGGTGGACAAATTTCTAGCTGTGTTGGAGGGAGCTGCTGCATTTGGGGTTTGGCAGGGGGATATAATTAGGTATAAAAAAATAAAATTAAAAAAAGGGTATTTGCCAGGGTTTTGATCTGACATTGGCCATTCTGTAAATATGGCAGACTGATGACAGGTAGCACAGACAGACAAGCTGAACTGTATAGCACTTTTTCATCTGTGCTTTCTCTGAGACATGGCTCCAGCTTGCAGCGCCTTGCAGACTTGTAGATTTTGGAACATTTGTTCCCAGAGGAGCCTTAGCCTGTTATAACAGATAGATTCAATGAAAATATCATTTACCCAGCTTGAACAGATATCCTCAAAGTCACTTCAAACTGTGCATCTCCTTTTTCTTACAAGTGAGCAGTGACAATGTGATAGTAGAATATCATAATAAAACTGAGAGTTTCATTAGCAGTAGTTGCATAAAACCAAAAACTAACCTGTGCATCTTCATATGTATATCTCCCTGGGTCTTTGACATTTTGGCTTGTTTTTTCATAGCTGTGGGAATCCAGGTTAATAGCACTTTGGGCCCCAGGAGCTAGAAACTCTTGCCAGATTTCTTCCACTCTTGTGGTCACATCCTGTAAAGGTCGTTTCTTGAGATCTTGGACAGCCAACCAAAACCTGTACTAGGCAAAAATTAAAAGGGCAGAGAAGAGAAAAAGACAGAAATCTAGGTAAGATTTTGGGAATAAGCCTAGGCAGAGTCCTAAAACAGACATCGAACCTAATCCTGCATCTATCAGAATTCACAGAAGACTCTCCATGTTAGCATGATTTCAAGGGGATGTACTTTATATCAACCCCTTATATTTTGGCCAAGACCAGAACACTGACCTTAAGAAGTGATACATTCTTATTCAACTGCCCCTGCAGAAGTGTCAGATTAGGTAGGCAAACAGGAAACCTCCAGAGCTATGCAGCTGGAGGAGAGGAGAAGGCTCTGCCTCCCACAGCCCCACTGCAATGTGCTGGTCATTCCTGCCTGCCGGATTCGTCATCCACAGGGGATTAAAATGAAGAACAAACTTAACATTCATATCATTTCCAGTGTAAAGTTGTAGCAATGCCACTTAGAGATTTTTTTTACTTGTAAACTGACCAGCATTCAGATGGATGCCATGAGAAAAGATGACTCTTGTCATGCCATACTCCTATTTTACAGGGGTATTTCCTTGACTAGGCTATGCTTACAGACTAAAGTAAGTTCATAAATACTGAGAAGATAATCCCCTTGATGACTAAGGACATAATCCATATCTTGATCTGTGAAAACAAAGACCACAGAATATTTTGCAAGAGTAACATGCATGTCTTTTGTCTTTTATCCTAGGAAAAAGAAAAGACATTTTGTTGTTGGTGCTAGTTTTATTTATTGCTGAAAGAGATATGCTCTTTCAGGTGATCAATTCAGAAGATGCATGGTGCCCAGTAGCCTTTTATTTTGGTCAACTCTATCTTCCAGCAAGAAGACATCCCTGAAGGGTATCTGCCCTGAGTACCTGGCCCTGCAACCTGGTTGAGCAAGCACAATAGTGCTCCACAGAGAGTGCTGAGGGCTACGGGGCAAACAGGTACTGAAGGTACCTTTGCAGCCACCTGCAATAGCCAGCTCTTTCCTACCCCCTGGCAAAGGTGCCCATTGTCCAGGTGGCACTGCTCTTATACACTCTCTCTGCTGGGCAGACTGTGCAGAGGGGACAGGGAATGTCTGAGTCACTGCTTGTTCAGGGCATCTGCAAGAGCTGCACAACTTGGAAAATCCTGTGTCTCCCTTATAAACCAGTTGAACTGTAACTGAAGTCCGGATTTCTCACCCCAAATGATTCAGTGGTTTCAGTGTGCTGCCACTAAGGCAAATATTCCTCCATGGTGAAGGAGGAAGATAGAGTCTGTCCCAAACAAAAATCCCAATGGCAGTGAGGATGGGTGGAAGAGACAGCAGCCTGGTGACTCCTGTGCTGTTCCTCACTCTAGCTTCCTTAATGGCTGCAGGCAGTATCTAAACACCCTGGAATCAGTGGTGTTATTGCAAACAAATGAGCCTGCTACCCCATTTAGCCTGGTATCCTAACTGCAATAGAGGCAAACAGTCAGTTTGGGGGGAAAATGACATCCACAATACATGCAAGGCCAGGCTAAATCCTCCTTGCCTGTCTGCTGCTTCTTCCCGACCATTAGGGGGCCTCATGCCACAGCCCTGACTCACCCAAGCCACTTGAAGGTATTCCTTCCTGTTTTTCCATTTCCTTGACAGGCTCAGTAAAACAGAGTGGGGTACACTCCAACACTACATCAGTACCTTTGGAGTCACATACTTGTGGTTCCAACAAGGTGACATTTGATTTTACTGAAATAAAAACTGAATTTCAACTGAAATAGAGTATCTGGGGTTGGTGGAGGAGTGTGCATGGTTGGTGCTTTTCCATCTTGGAGAGTTTAGTGCACCTGATATCCTGCCTTGTCATTTGAGCAGTGACATCCCCACTTATCACATGCATGCAGAGAGTACAGGGTGGCACTCACAGCGCAGTAATGTGATGCCATATGTGGTTTTCGTTATTTGAAAATACTTTAGCATTCAATTTCTGATGTAATAGGAACATGTGAACGCAGAAAACGCATAGGAAGAAAGGATGCTAATCATTCCAGAGTAGCTGGGACACTTCAGACAAACATTTGGCTAGAGAGAACCTTTTCTCCTGGCTTATCTTCTGCTCCTGGAGCCGGGGAGGCGGGCTGGGAAAGCACGCTTGTGAGAGAGCTGGGAAGGCTGAGAAGTGACAGCTTGCCAGAACAGGAGCACCATCCATTTTAATAACCATTTGGCTCAATCTGAAAACCAACCAACCAGACCAACCTGACAGTAACAAGAACAAGCTCTTTTTACTGCAAGCAATTGTGAATTCATGCCCAAGGCTGGATGTCCTCTTCAAGGCAAAGGGGAGTTTTGTCTTGGTAAAAATTTCAAAGCTATTCACTATAGCTGGCATCTGAAAATCAAGCAACATCAAAGAGGGGTACCCAGCCACACAGCTTCAACTCCAAGGCAAATTCTCTACCATGAGGAATCACCCTGAAGCCAACACATAAGCAGGGCTTCCTATGGGATTTATAGCATTTACAAGAGAGAAGCAGGTATTTCTACTAAGGAAAGGAGCCAACCTACAATGACTGTGCTGGAAATTCTGCTCAATTATAAAGTGCAAATGCACTTCCTGAATCCTGCAATTTCTGAAGCACAAGTTCACAAGGAGTCAGGTGAAAATCCTGCATTGCCTCCTCTCTTTCTGTAGGAGACAGATGTCCAGCAGACACCTTTGCACAGGGCAGGGGAGAAGGGAGATGTCCTTGTGTGTCCTCTCCACAGGTGCCCTTTAAGCAGAGCAGGACTGGCACAGGGACTGTCTGCACAGAGAGAGCAGCAGCATTGATCACACGTTCTTTGTCCTTTATAAAACAGCATGTAAGGACTGGAGAAGGCTGATAACATGGTGTCCTAAAGTGTTGTCAGTGGCAAAAACCATTTCAGCCTCATCCAGCTTGTAATTAAACTGCTGTCACTTGCAGAAGATATCCTACAATGGCATTTATCCTCCACAGCTCCCCCAAGGCACAGAGAGCTCCTGGACCTCTGCATGTGCACTCTGCCTCCCTCCAGGGCACTGCAGAGGTGCTTGGTCACTGCTGTCCAAAGATGTCCCCCAGTGAAAAGGCTGCTAAGGAAGGACAGGGTGAGTAGCAGGGGAGTGGCTGCTTCTGAGGTACACTGTAAAACAAAAATTGATTTTAAATCCTCATCAGGAGGCAAAATATGGACGACTCCAGAAACTGAGGAACAACAGTCAAGACAAGGGCAGTGTTGTATCCTCATCTTGGGGGTGCACACAACACCTCTAGCTTGACAGTGAATTCATAAAGTGATTATCTGAGGTCAGAATCCAAGCACACTTCTCTCCTTGCCTCAGTGGTTCCATGCCAGTATCTCATGCCCCTCCAGTCTCACATCTCTAACCATTCACAAACCGTCTTCCATTCACCAAGAACTAACTTTGAACATCTCAGCCAGGAAATGAATGAAAGCAACTGATAAAAATCAAAATGCAGTTCAGACAGGGGCAGTATTCACATCTTTGTGTTATTTAGTGGTCAGATCCTTGGCGTGGTGAGCTTGGTATGGCCAATACAAACAAAATCTGTCCTTGGCGAGCAAGCTGGGGTCTGGCAGACGCTGCAAAGCTGCACGCTGGGGCACTGGGGACCTGCCAAGGAGACCGCAGTGTCGGTGGGGACGGGGCGAGCGTCCCGCAGGCCTCCCCCTCCACTCCCCTTCTCCTCTCCCCTCCCACGCGGTGCACGGTGCAAGTCCCTCCTTCTGCTGCAATTCCTTTCAGTGCTGTGGGCCAGGACAGCCCTTTTGTCGCTGCCGAGAGGCCCTGCCCGGGCCCGCTGAGGGGCCCGCGCAGCGCGGGGCGATGGCGCCGCCTGCCGGCACGGCCCGGCACTGCCCGCCCCATCCCGGCTCTGCCCCGCATTGCCCGTACCATCCTGGCACTGCCCCGCACAGCCCGCACCATCCCGGCACTGCCTCGCACCGCCTGGCATTGCCCGTACCATCCTGGCACTGCCCCGCTCTGCCCTCCAGCTCTGGCGGAACGTTCTTAATTTAGGGAACACGGAGCTTTGGGGCGGCCCGGTGTGCTTACTGCATATATGAGCTCTTCTCCCTGCCTGAACTTCACCTTTCCTGATGAAAACTGGGCGGGGGGGAACCTGGCAACAAGTTTCAAGCATTAGGAGTCATGTAAGCTATCAGCACTTTCTGCAGGTAGAACTCCTTTCCCACGATCTCCATGTTCAACATATGCTCACAAGCAATAAGGCCCAGGGCGCCTGCATCCATGCATTGCCAGCTCCACAGTGCATTCCCACAAAGTGTCACATGCTTCCCACTGAGGTCTATAAACAGGTGTGCAGCCTCCTTCCCCTTCAGGTGAAATTCCCATGTTCCATATTCCCACTTTGCTGTTTCCAGCTGACACTCTTAAAAGTTAGGAGGGAAAAAATTCAATCCACCAGCTAAATTAACATCTCAGCAATCTCAAGATGTCTCAGAAGGTTCCCAGGTCATAAAAAATGTATAATAACTTTCTGATGCCCTTTCTTTTCTTATCCTTTCTTATTTATTTTGTTTTAAATTTGGCATTTTGTCAGCTACATTTTGGGTACTTCAAAAATCACCCAAGTCAAAACAAATTGTAGATGAAAGATAACAACAGAGAGGAGAAAGAAAACAGAGCAAAGAAAAGAGTTAAAATAAAAACAGAGAGAAATATAACCAACTGACTGGCTTTCCTGCTCCCACATAAATAATGGACAGCCAATAAATAAGTTACAGGGCTCAGCCGAGCCCAGGAGACTGGTGGACAAGATCCTGCAAGTTTATTAGAACACAGACACACAGCTGGAAGGTGATCTGGGAGGTCATCGAGTCTAGTCTGCTGCTATCTCTGGCAGTGCCTCACCCAAGGCCCCCACTGGGACCAATTTTTCTCAGCTAGGAAGAGATGGAAATGCCCCACCACCATCAGCCCTGTGATTTGGGACTTGCACCACAAGGTATGAGAGCTGAATTTGGTCCCCTTGCTGGATTGCTGAATTACATTCATTTTAAGACATTCTCAAGCACACACTTCACAAAATCTTTTCTAGTGCTACCATGAATTTCTAGGTTTTCCAGCAGTCAATTTCTCAGATCTTCCTTAAATTCAACATATTATCTGCCTTAAATTCAACAGTTTATAGGGCTCTGGCCAGTGTTAATCCTAAAGATACTCCCAAGATCCTACTGGCACTCCCAAGAGATAATACATCCCTACTGCAACAGTTCCAAGATCTCTGGGTAGTTACTGGGAAGAGAGTTCAGAGAAGATTAACTTTTGTTAATCTGTATGTTACTTTCTAGCAAGGTGCTAAGTGCTGTGCTCTCAGAAATTTTCTTACACCTTCCCAGGGTTTGGGTGGGATGTGTGTCATTTTACTGTAGTTGTCTGCCATGCACTCATTTGAATCAGTCTCTCCAGGTTTATGATAACAAGAGATGGATGCTTTCTAGTGTAATTTAGGTGCTTTTAGTTTTGTTTCCACTTAAAGCTGAAACAAATTCTTCTCAGGTGACTCACTGATTCCTCTTCAGCTTCTCTTCTCCCTCTCTAAAAGGATATTTCATAAAAAGAAAGCATGTGCTTCTGAGCTGTTGGCTTACATGAGGCAGATCCCAACTTTGCTGTTGAGTGTAACTTAGATTTTGCTTGCATGCGTAAGCATCGAGCAGTTACTTTCTTTTTTTGGTACATATTCCTAGTGAGAATTAAGGAGCTTTCTCTGCCTCACCTGAACCCTTCTTCTCTCAAGCATCACTGCTAATAATTCACTCTATTCCAGTTTTTTCATTAATATTTCTGCCTTTGCATCCTTTTATTTAAGGCTTTAAGCAGGCTTGCTAATGTATCCAATATGAGATCAGAATACCACGTAAGGCAATACCATCATAATGATACCATAAGAATGATAGCAAAGTTCCCATATTAAGAATCATGCCAATGTCTTCCACAAAGGAGGCAGGATTTAACCTGCCCATGCCAGCCCACTGATTTTGCCAGCTCCCTTCACTACATCTCAAAATCAAAGAGAATGTGCATCAGCAGGAGGAGCAGCTCTGACTGACCAAGAAAGGTACAAGTTTGCCTCCTCATAATCAAACTTTCTCCATTTGTTGCAGTAGGATGAACATGGGGGAGAGAGCTAAGTCATAAAACCTGCTGGATTTCATTAGCACAACTCCAGATTAATTTCAGAGCACTAATTTGAAGAGTATTTTAATTCAGTATATTAATTTTGCACTTCATCACTACAATTTAATTGCAAATGAGTGCTGCTGCACATAACTGCAGTAAGCATATGCAAGTTCAGTACCTGTTTAGCAATAAAATTTCAAGCTCATTTGTGTAATTAGTAACACTCCCTTGTTTTCTTACAGGTTATCTTTCGGATTTTTCAAAACAATAAAGTGCATTGAGTTTTCACTGTTTTGCTGCTGGCATGCTTTCTGTACTTCTTCCTTGGACAGGGAAACCTGATAAATAGGATGGTAAGTTCCAATGTCATTAAAAATCACTTTCTGGGGAATTCCTCTTTCAGGTCTTGCAGGTTAGTCAGCTGCACTATAGTGACAATTGTTCACATGCTTTAGTAATGTATTTTATTTTCTAAGTGAAATAGAATGAAAAAACCATAACTAAAAAAGGCAGTGCAGTCAGGTTCTTATCTGCTGGAAAAATAGAGAACATCAAGCCTGCTCACTACAACCACAGGCCAAAGCTGGACTGACTTGCTCAGCCCAAGAGCAGGCACAGTTCTGTCAGTGAACCTGCAAGCTTCTCTGGCCTTCCCTGCAAATGCTCACTTAGCCTTCTGGAACATGACTGCCCCAAAAAACCCCACAAGAACCTAGAACCTGTCCCTTTACCCCTTCTTGTGCTGAGACACAGCCACAGCACCACTACAGCACCTCTGTAGTGTTATTCAGTAAAAAAGTGGGGTTTACTGGCTCTCAGCCTGATGTAGGATCATGTGCATAAATACGTAATGTTTCATAACAGAAGTTCTGACTTCTTCACAACTTGAGAAGTCAGGTACTCACAATCCCCACACAGAGAGTCCTGCTAAGGTGAGATATGCTGTTGGATAGTTAGCACATGCCAGAATTAAAAGTAGTTGTTGCAAACCTGACTGCAACTAAGAACTGCAAAGTTCATAGCCACACGACATCCATACTGTTTCCCTACCACAAGCCCTGCCCATACAGACACATGTAAATACTACATCTTGTTAGGGGGCTCAGGAGCAATGTGCTGCATCTCATCACATCATGCAAGTCTGCAAGCCCTTGCACACAGAAGATACCTGACAACACTGGCTCTGCTAAACTGCTTCTGAGATTACTCACATAGGTCTAGTATAGGTGTCTGTAGCAGTGCTATGGGCCAGACCCTGCCATTCTCATCTTTATGCAAATGGGTGTTTTTAGCAGTTCCAGACACACCAAACATTGCATTTCACCTATACAAGAGAATAGGATCAGGACCATTCATTTAGTCAAGTCCGAAAAGGTTTCACCTGAGGTTTTCTGAGCTGAACTCTGATTCCAGGAAACGAAGGAACTGGTCTCGTCCTACTGGGTCCTTCAGCACCTCATCCATGGAGAAACCCCATCTTTTCACACGCTGCTGACTAGGTTCTTTGCTGTTTGGAGAGAGAAGGGGAAAAACAGATGGAATGTGCATCTCTGCCTGCTGTCTGAGCAGCTGCTGCTGTTTCTGCTAAGTGAAGGGAAGAAGATTATTAGATGAGATGTTGTTTTTTTATCAAGATTTTTCAGAAATACAGGTCAGCAAATAACAAAAAAAAGCCTATAAAGACCAGGATCAACATTAAAGCAACTGGAGGACTTTAAATCGTTACATCATTTGAATCATTAAAGGATGCTATTTGGGTGCTACATACATGGTGACATAAGAGAGAATGTGAATGATATTCTTTTCAATGCAATTTCTGGTAGGTTTCATTTGGAAGAACAGCATACCATGCCTAAATGGATATACCATTTCTATTAATACCATACCATTATGCACTTCTTGCATATCTCCTCAAATGTACCTTAGGATTTCTTATGCATCAAGATAAAAATTTCCCAGCAATGTTCCCTGGGTCACTGGTGGGCTCCAGAGCATTTCCTTGTGTCCCACACAGTACTACCTGGTCACTTGGAACTGGCTTCAGATTTTCAGATCCACATTTGCATTAGAAAAGCAGTTCCACTAAGAAGCAGTGCAGGCAAACTATCTAAAATGATTACTGGTTTGTGGTCTTTCATTTTTTAGTGCCTCTGATTTTTGCATGCCTAAGTCTCAGAAGACTAAAAAACATCTTCCTCCTACTCCATGATAATCAGACTTTTATTTTCTATCTCAGCTGGGACACTGAGATGCAGAGGCACCCAAAATCACCAGCAACCTTCCTCCTTAATTATTTCTTAACACAGCCAACTTACATAAGCTGTTGTTTGAATTGCCAGACATGTTGCAGAGATGCCTATGGGCAGAGGTGGTGCCTGGCCTGGAAATCACAACGAGGATCCTATGAGACAGCCTGCATCAGAGCATAATCTGGGCTCACAAAGTGTTTGAAAGCTTCTGGTGTGATGGCGTCATAGTATGAGACAACCATTAGAACACAGCTCAGCTGCTCCCATGTGTGACAGCAGAGCCATTGTTAACAGTACATATCTATTAAACTATGTGTCTCCTCATGTCCACAGCGATTCCTAATCATGGAGCCTTAGGGGACAGTGGCGATCTGTGCTGAAGACAAATAAGCCAAAGGGGTAAATAAAATGCCTGCTTTCATTTTCTCTTGGTGTAAAGGCTAAGCAAAATTGATAGGCATGTCCTCACTCGAGGAGCAGCACACTTGGGCTGGCTCCTCCTGCGCTCCCTCAGGAGCCAGCAGTGCTGCAGACAAAGGTGCAGATCCAGCCTACCTGTTACACAAACCAGCCTGGCCATCGGGACACAAAAGCCATGCTTGTGCAGAGCCATGCACAATCTAAGCTCAGGGAATTTCCTGCTGAATCCAGAGATCTGTACCTGCTCTTCTTGCAGCTACACAACGTTCTGGCACACACAAAAAAAGGCCAAAGTGCTGTCTAAAACAGAATGCTTTCCGCGTCATTTCCTGAGTCCTGATTGCCATGGAGGATGAACTCCAGTGCCACAGGGCTGCCCATACTCAGCAGCCAGCCTTGCCACTGGCAGTCAGAGGCTCTTTGTTTTCCTGCACAAGGACTCTGCCCTCCTAACTGAGGAAACAGCTTTGCAGGCAACACAAGGGGATCTTGGAGATCATTTAATTATTCATGCAAGTTGCAACTAGATGCAGATGCAGTTAGTTTTTTTACAATAGAGAATAAAATGGAAATACATAGCTGTTTGTTTTTCCATCTCCCCACACTACAGCTTTCTCTTTTTCACCTGCAGGAAAATCACCTTCCTTAACTCTGAAATCATAGCAGAAGCCAAGCATTTATTTTAAATTCCTATAAGGCTGTGACATCAGGTTAATTGTATTCTTCAGGGACACAGACAGCTTTTCTGGGATTTGCAGCTACGTCAACAGATGCAGAAATAATGGAGGCCTGGATTACCTTGCGGGTGAGGGCTTCTACAGAGCAGTATTTTGCAAGGGCTGTATGTGGTACTAGTCCTACTAGGGAGGATGGACAAAATGAGAGAAACTAGCTAAGAAAAAAAAAAACAAATACTAAAATTATGTGAAGAGGGGCAGAGGTTAGGAAAATAATGGATTTCTCTGGCTACCAGAGAAGCAGGTGAAAACAACTTTCACATCCCAAACTACTTGGCTTTTAAATGGGGAAAAATCTTGTTCTTTTCCTGGAACACTGATTCTCCATGAATCAGTTTTCTTAGGCAATAACACCTCTAAATTATTATTCAAGAACATATAGGATTAGATTTGGCATTCTCTTATCAAAAATTTGCTAAAGTGAACTCCAGATTTGGTGCCAAATGGCAGCAACTAAACACTGGAGTAGCTGCTGAGCCCTTGCAGTTGTTGGCCACAGGATGTGATTGGGTAGTGAAGGTAATATGGGGCATTTCATTCAAATTTGCTGTGGGAGCTATCAGGCATAGTGGCAGGCAGGCAGGACAATTCGAGCCCCTTTACAAGGATTGTGGATAGCCTGTGAGGGCAAGAGACACAAACATAGCCCAGAGTTCCCTTGCACCAGCATCACATGGGCAAAACATGATCTCTGCTGCAGTGTTCTGCTTGTTTGTTTGGTTTTTTTTTTTTGGGGGGGGGGGGGTGGGGTGGGGTTGAGAAAACTCTCTGAGGTGCAAGACATTGAATATCCTCCAGACATTCCTCCCTCTTTCCATCTATTTGACACCATAACAGAGACAAGCCAGCTTGTTCACCAACAGGTGAGGCCCAAACCCAACCTATTACAATTCTGACCTGCCAAGTCTCACACATCACATGTGAGCTACATTCTTCTGTGCCAAACTCACTCTGGACAGCAGCAATGGCCACCACTTATAACTCATCCCATTTTCCCAGCAGCATTTTTCATGGGATTCCATGACAAGAGCGGGGCTGGAGCATTGCCGCTGGGAAGAGTAGGCTCCCAAGGGTCAAATGTGATTTGCTGGAACAAACTGAAGATGTGCTGGAACAAGTTTGTCTTAGCAGTATCCTACATCTTTAGGCTCCTAGACCTGAGTCTGTGCATGTACTCAACAGGTATGAGAACATCCATTACCTGACTTACAGAGTCCCATACATCAAGCCATATAAAAGTGGAAGGGCTGAATAATTCACAGATACCAGTGATAAATTTTAGCTATGTTCTTGAATCGTGTAGTACAGACATACAACTTCCTTTCCAAACAGGGCAGTGTTAAGAGCATATAAAGAAAATGGCAAGACAACTCTCACATTAGTTAAAACTACCAATTAATTTTTACCTCATTTCAATGTCCCACAGTGCTGCATCATCACTTATCCAGGGATTGGAAGGCTCAGCAGGAGTTATAAAGGGGTCATATTCCACATACTGCTCCGTGTAGGCTATTAAACTGGCAGGGAAAAAAAAAGGAAAAAAAAGAATAAAGAAAGGGTTTGAATGCATAGTCACATGTCAGAAAAGTACAGCTTTTCTTTTTATCCTGTTTGTTTGGGGTTTTTTGGTGGTGGTTTTTTGTTTTGTTTTTGTGTGTGGTTCTTTTTATTTATAGGCATTAGTCAATTTCCTAGCAATCACAGGAGACCCTTTTCCCAGGGATGATGCATGCAAGGATTTCTCTGCAAACACCCACCAGCTCACTGCAGTATTTTCCTCAACAGCAGCATTTTCCTCCAGCTTGTCTCTGTTGAGATGCCCCCAAAAAACCTGATGAGGCAACAACTGGATTACTATGGCAGGACTTCCCCCAGAGAGCCATGGGAGGTATATGATGTATGTGTCATCCCATTCATTTGCTGCATGTTACTATTGCCTCCCATCCTTTTCATTTTTGCAAACTTGTGCACCCACATAAATTTATGTACTATGAGAAACTCACCTAAACAGGGTCATGGGCTGCAGCTAAGAATATGCTTAAATCTTTGGAGGATCATAGTCCTAAACAGCAAAGCTTTGCCTATAGATAATTTTTTAGTTATGTTGGTATAGTATTTAGTCTAACAGCACTATTGTAAAATACTTCAACAGTAATAATTAACTTAGAGAATAGTAAATAATATGCACGTTGGAAAAACTCCTAGCCTTTACACTGGCTTGCTTCATGGTGAGTCAGTTAAGGCACAGAGCCTCTAATCCTCACTAGGATGAGATTCAAAGAGCTTTCTGGTGAAAGAACTGTGTCTGCTTGCATAAATGATTCAGGAATTCCACTGGGGTTGGGGCTAGGGGTGCATTTTTACAAAAGAAAGACAGAAAACACGAAATAAATCAAAAGACATTTCTTCTAGTCTATACTGGAAATACTCTAAGGCACTTAATTTTTTGCCTACGTCTGCCAAGTAATTAACTAAGTCAATTATGTCTCATCATACTGAACAACCAATGTACTTGCACTGTGATTGTCCACACTAAACTTTACCTCTGGTCCTTCACATCTCAAAAAGGCAGGCAAATGAAAAAACCCTGCAAACAAAGGGCCATAAAAGGCAGAAAGTTTCCCTGAACTGCTCTATAGTAATTATTTCTTTTTGTTTGTGCTAGCTCTTATCATGAGGCATTAAAATCATACACTTTTGTAACCACAGCAGGTTCCCATTGCCCCTTAGGGCACTGGGGGCTGTCTCATCTCATTTCATTAATTACATTTCATGACTGCTGTGGGTCAAGGGTTGGAGGAGGGAGCAGCGTCCAATTTCACAGAGCAGCAGCAGTCCCTTACACATCAATGAAAGAGAGGGTTGGTTAAAAAAGAAAAGAAAGCCAAAAAGGATCAATCAGGAGATATCTGCTGTGAAACCTGAATTGCTCCTAATAAAATAATAAGAAGACATCAGAGGTGCCAGTACAAGTACTAGCAAAAAAGAAAGAGGGAAAAAACAAAAATGAAACAAGGGGGAATTTCTAAGTACATTCTGCTGATTCAGTATAATGGCAGCAGCAGAATCATTGCCTCATTGTCTACAGGAGGCTAGAGGCAGGGGACTCCTAAGGGAAAGCATTTTAGTCAAAATGCAAACCTGGCCTTTTGGGTGATAAACTGAATACCCAGTAGAAGAAGTGGTAGGAACAGTTGACTGAAGGGTGTGGAGCTTGCATTGAGAACCCAACTGCCTCTCAATCAAGGGGGCCTGCTGAGCCTTCAAGGAACTTTGATGAGAAGCTGAAAGAATAGCACAAATTTTCATCTAGGGAACTGAGATTGCTTCTGGTAGGAAGATGCTCATTTTTCCCCAGGCATTTCGGTGATGCTGTTTCTAATGAAATTGTACTAACACCGTGCAATGCAGTCAGGGAAAACAATAGGTAGAATATATTGATAGTTTTGCTCAACAGTTCTCAAAGCTCAGTGGTTAAAACTGACAGTGCACAGGTCCCAAGTGGGGAGAAAGGATGTGGAAGAAAGACACTTTCCAAGGTATGTGGAGCAGCTGAGGGATGCCTGTTCCCACAGTTGGTACAGATCTACTCCTGGAAGCAGAACAGGGAGGAAAGGGAAGAAAATCTTTAGCAGCAAGCATTTTATCTCACAGAAGCTGGAGATATCCTTTGGAGAGCCTTCCTCTACTGACAGACAAAGGCTATCCCAAGAATAGTGTGAATTAATGTAAAATAAATACATTTGATAAATAAAATAAATACATTACATAAATAAATTGATCTATAACTATTGAAACAATTTATATCTTGTTCCTATAACTTGTTTGACCTAGTGTTTCCTCATTTATTTGTTCTTTGTTACTTCTCTCATCCTCTCTGAAAGTGCCTTTGTGCTATACTGAAAAATTGGCAGATGGTGCCACTGTCAGGCTTGACTGTTGATGCCAAGAAGTCATTTCCTGTACTCTGATCTGCCACACTGTCACCTAAACTGTCCCAAGAGCAGGGTCTAGCCTGAAAATTGATTTGATAATAACAGCATCTCCTTACACAGGAAATTTGTTCCTAGTGCTTGTAATCAATGTCTTCATGGGGCTTTCAAGGCTGCACAGGTGTTTTTTCAGGCAATTGTGCAAGTCAGGTCATCCGTATTCATTCCTCCTCACCAGTCCCTAGCCCTGCAAAGCCACTGGACCCATCAGCTTCTCTGCTTCCCTCCTACCTGCTCTGCAATGCTCCACATCCAGGCTGCACTTCCCACCACTCCCCACATCAAGTCGCGGGACTCTCAAATCAATATTGCCAATATTCAAATCAATATTCAAAGTCATCACATAACCAAACACCTCCTCATAAATAAAGATCACAATCATGATTTTCATTCTTTATAATTATTAATAATCATTTAGAAATATAAGGTTCTTCACCCAGAGGGTGTCTGGGCTCTGGAACAGCCTCCACAGGGTAGCAGTCCTGGCACTAATCCTGTCAGAGTTCAAGTGTTTGGTCAATGCTCTTAGGCACATGGTGTGATTCTTGGGGCTCTCTCTCCTGTGCAGGGCCAGGGGTTGGACTTGATGATCCTGGTGGGTCCCCTGCAATTCAGCTTATTCTGGCATTCTGTAATTTGACTGTTCTCATTTTATTCACTTTTCTCCCGGTTATTATTTTGCAAAGGTTTTGATAGCAACATTTTCTCCTCCAACTTGAGAGCAATTAAAAAAGAAAAAAAAAACAAAACAAAACTTTTCAAACCAGAAAAATTATTAATGTCTCAGTATATTAAGGTCATTGTAAATAAATTCAGTACAATAACTTTTTTGGTTTTAAAGTACAAGTACATGTTCTTAATTGAAATGACCCAAAAGCCCAAAACATAAATATAAATGGGCTCATTTTAATCATACAATGTATTGCATGCAGGATTTCAGGGAACCTCTGAATATTTTCTCTTTAATGGGATACATTTTCATTTTAATTGCTAAACTTGATGAGCAAATAAGAACTTACATGGGGCCTCTCACCATTTAATTTACCTGGTTTAGTACATGCATGCTAACTACAGATGCAGGCACTGCAAAGCACATTTCATGGGGTATTCCCATTTTGCTTTGCTGAAATAAAAACTCCTCTATTATTTGTCTAGAAGGAATCAGCCCTTATCCTATCCTTCATGTTTAACACAGTTTTGCTTTAAAAGTGATATCACTGAAGAGCATGGCTACCCCTACCTTCATCTCAGTGACTACGCTGCAAATGTGCATAACTTACAAATACCTAAGTAAATGAGTTGTCAAACTCAATTAAATTTGAGCTTGTTCTTCACCTATTCATACTTTTCTACCAAAACAAAATATTCTGCAAGTCAAATTGTGCCTTGATTTGCCTCTTAGAAATCCACTCCTTGAAACACTGCCTTGAGTAGCCCAGATACAACGCCAGTACTTCTCTAAGGGTTTCATATACATGTAAATGGAAGCAGGAACTGGTCCTAGAACCCCAGTAGGAACAGAGATGTGAACAACATGTACAACAAATGCAAACACAGCTCCTTCCCCAGAGCTGTGCCAGACTGACAAGAGATAAGCACTGAGAATTTGGCCAAAAAGGGGAAAAAAGGGTATTTTCAAATTGAGACACGAATGACTTTTCTAAAAATAAACCACATGGTAGTGAAGCGGTGGGAAACAAGTCACACAAGGGTTTTTTCTTTTATGAATTCTTCTTTTCTTTTGCAGATTACAGGTCCTCCTTTCCCACCTATTTTTGCTCAGTGGCAGAAGAGTGAGTACAGGAGCCAAGCAGCCAAGCAGCCAAGCAGCACAGCTGATCAAGGAGGGGAAAGGATTGATGAACAGAAAGGGGGTTTGCATTTTGCTGCCTGATCTGTTTCTAGAAATGCCAAACTGAAGATGAGGAAAGAATGGGAAATCATCAAAACGGGGACACTCACCTTTCTGCTACTTTGGACATCTTTAAACAATGTCTCTCTATCTGCATGTTCAGAAAAGTTATCTGAGGAGAGAGATGACAAAGACATTAACAATTTATGAGTTCTGCAGCATGCACTGACAATATCTTAACACACTATTGATTTCTCTTTCCAAAAGGCTGGAAAGTAATTCAGAAAGAAATGGGACCCTTCCCTAGGAATCAGAAGCTTATTAACTGCTTCCAATAGCAGGCTCCCTTGCCAAAGGCAAATCCCTAGGGGAAGCTTCAGAAGACATAACTGAAAGTAGAAAAGACACATATTTGGGGCCAAGGTTCCTGGACTACTCAGGGTACAATATGATCTCCTTTTTACAAACACACTCTCCTCTCCCATTCCTCTTACTGACTGGCATCACAAGAACAGTAACATTTTACAGCACACTTTCATTCTGCTATGAACCAGTTCTTCAACCTATGATAAAAAAGCTCAAGGAATGTAGCATCCAGGCTTAGCTCAGAAGACCACCCAAAAACTGATTGCTTAAGAAACTTGTTTAAAGATGCATTAGTAAAATGCTGATCCAGTGATTCCTGTTTGTCTTTCAGTGAGGGCTGCTTATTGCATCAAAGTAATTTTGAGAGACAGCTCTTCATGCCAGTGCAAGGATGTGTGAGTTGGCTGGTCATTCCTTGGCATGATTGTCCAAATAACTTTTTCCTGGTTTCCTAAAAGCCCTGACTGTACAGTCTAACAGTCATGCACTGAACGACGCCTTTCCTCACCACTCATGCCAAGCCTGTGCCCAGCTACACTGCCTTTGTCACTGTCCACTTTTCAGACATCCTCAGTGAACTGGAATTATTGCCTTATTGCCTGTGTCTGGTCCACAGACAATAAAAGCAGTTTCAAAGGTCAGAGTCACTCATAATACGTATCACCATACAACCACACTGCCCAATGAATACTTATAACACTTAACATAAGTGAGAATTAAGGATAAGTATGTGAGGATCAAGGACACGTAAAGCATAGAACTGGTTTTGCTGGTATCTCAATACCTTTCTAGGCTTTTTTCTGGGAGCAGTTCTCAGAAGAGTTGCCATACAGCCACCTACTTACCTGCTTCCGGAAATCCTCTTTTGTCGTTTTGCGCACCGGCTGGGAGGGCAGGTGTACGGGGCTTTGGGGCTGAGACTCCTCTGTAACCCCATACACTGACTGTGAGGAACCAAGGAACAAACCAAAGGGTTACAGCATTTTTCGGTTACACAAGGAGGAATGGTGCAGTATGCAAAGCAGTAAGGTAACAAGCCAGCAATTTCCTACTGTTTATATCCACACAGGTAATTATTCAGCCCCAAGCAATATTTACAGATCAGACCATTCTTGCTGATGTCTGCACTTGGAAGGCCTGTAGGTGTGTTAAGAGAAGAGTTTGTTTTAAATGGTTAAATGCAGATGATAATTTTTAGGAGCTCTGAAGGCTGTGTGCACTAACACTTGCAAGGATGAACACTGGGAGCTGTCACTGGGGTGAACCAAGTAGTAAAAGGAAATACTTGAACCTAATTCTATGCCACTGTCTTTCACTTGATTTAATTTCTTGATGTAAAACTACATATTGAAGAAAGTGCTTAACCAGGTCAAGTCAATAGGTTATATGAACTTCTCTAAACAGAAACCTGTAGCCAGACCTGTAGCCATTCATTTTCAGGATAGACACCTGCACTGAAAGTAATACCATTTGCCCTTTCATTTAGTGCTTTTGCTTTTCAGTAAAGTTTCTAATAGACATGTGAATAGCTCTGCTGCAGTTTAACTACTTATGGAAGTTCAGGAGTCCAGTGTTCTGTCCAAAAACATAACAAGTGATAAGAAGAAACAGCCTGAAGCTGTGCCAAGAGAGGCTTAGATATTAGGAAAGAATTCTTCTCTGAAATGGTTATCAAGCACTGGAACAAGGCTGCCCAAAGAAGTTGTTGTGTCACCATTCTTGAAACTTTTTAGAAGATAGGAACGTGGTTTAGTGAAGGACTTGGTTAGGTTAAGGTTTTGAGTCACTGATCTAAATGGTTTTCTTCAATCTAATTGATTCTATGAATTCATATGCATAGAAGAGCTCAAACTTGCTGGAAGTCAAAGACACCCAGGTTACTAATGATCCAGTCTTTGAAATTATTAAGGCAGGTAAACATCTCATTTTCTGTGCCCAGATAATTTCTTAAAAAGGGACCTAGGTATTTTTGCCAATTCCATTTAATTTCATGGGAGGGCAGAGCCATCAGACATTTGGGACACAGAGATCCTTAATGCCCTTCTCAGCTCTACCCATCACCCATCAAGTCAGTACAACTATGCTGGTAAAACTGAAATAATAAATTCACCAAGGAAACAAAATATAACTCGTATTATCAAAATACTTTTTTTTTTGCTCCTCTTGGGTAAGTCTCATATACAGTAGGTGTCAAGTATGATTTACATGAAAAGAAAATAAAAACAGTGAACCAAACTAACTCCAAACAAGAAAAAACCAAAATGAGGAACTCAAACTGACCTTTTTCACTTTTTGTGGGTTTTTCATACGGCGACACTTTCTAATGTCCATTTCTGTGGTGTTCACACAGCCTGGCTGAAAAGAGATGGTAACTGTGTTATTCCTCTGTTAAGAATCTTCATGCTACCTTACCTTTATAAAATATACTTGTCCAAAACTCTTTCTTGAGGTCTGTGTTACTCTTGCTAAACAAGAGACTGCATATACCCAAGGATGCTATGTCAGCATTCAATCCACTTACTCCTAACTTTGGCACCAAAAGGAAATAGCTAACAGTGGGGAGCTTTTGCTAGGAAGTCTGAGACAAACTGAGTAAGCTGCTTTTCTTTCATAAGCCCAGTAGATAATTTTCAAAGTTTGTATTTTTCACGTATTTCTAAATCAACAGTTCCATAGGTACAGAAGTCCAGAACGTCTCACATAATCTAGCAGACACTTGGTGCATTGGGAACTGCAAGGAAAATCAATGTGGTGACTGTAAGGGCAATGTTTTTGTGCATAAAGCATTTACTACTAATAAAACTTCTCCTGTCAAAACCTGGAAAGTCTCTTCATTCAAAAATAGTTTTACCACAGGCCTGTGCACATCCCAGAATGCTCTTTCCTGGCTGTCCAAAATCTTTCTTTCTGTTTTATCCTTTTTTCTGTCGATTCTGAAAACAAAAGCATAAGTGAGTATGAGTCAATGTACAAGTCATGCTTTCTTCTTTGATATAGTTCCTAGCTGTGGTTCTTAACCCCAAGACAAAAAATTTCAGAAATCAACTTTTTTTGTACAGTGATGTTGCACTTGCACGGGCACATACCATGAACAAAATAACACTGATGTTTACTCCAACATGGATCAAAAAAAGATTTTCCTATTAATGTGGAAAAATTTAACAGCTGTTTTTCATCTGGTGAGGAAAACCTTTCCTGGTACCCTGGTCCTGTACTCTTATTTGACAGGCTGGGAAAGTTTGTAGTTTTGTCTGTGTCAGGAAAGCCACCAGGACCTGTTTGCTCCAGGTGAGGTGCCTGGCTGATGCTGAACTGAGGTCACCATCCAGAGAATCCATTGCACCCAAATGCCCCAGCAGCACCACTCAATGAATACAGATTGCAAAGGAGTATCTATCCCAGACATTTCCAGCAGCAACAGCATGGGCAGCACTTGTGGCCAATCCTCCTTAGAGTTTTCAACTCAAACACTGCCTCTGTCGGCGTGCCCCCATGCTGGCAGAGCAAGGGGTAACAGCACAGGTGACCAAAGGTAAGCTTGCTGCATGGCTCCTACAAACCAGCACCCACCCCAGAGAGACATGACTGGGCTGGCACAACAGGAACGCTGTAATTCCAGCCCTGATGCGGCCAGTGGACCAACTCACTGAAAGCACACAGCCCAAAGGCCACCAGAGGTTGCTCAAAGCAAATCTTGGCAGCAGTGAGCAAGTGACATCTGGAACCTCACTCAGCTTTACATATGAGCACAAAGTCAGCACCAGCTTGCAAGATCTACCTGCAGAGGGATGGAAAGAAGCACATGGAAGGAGAACAGCCTCCATGCCTCCACTTCGGAGCACGGCTGAGTAAAGCTCTGTGTCCCCGTGCTGGGTTCCCACTGGCTGCCACCAGGAGAATCAAAGGGGTTAGGAAAGAAACCCAGGCCAGCTGTGATTTCTGACCACCAGGTTCTCTCCCATCTGTTTTTGTTTTTGGGGGGCAGTGCCCCTTGGCTAAGTCTGTGCTAGAAATGTACCAAGAAGATAGGAATCAGGGGAGAAAAACTGATGGTTTTCTCCCTGAGCAGCCCTCCCCAGAAAAAGGCAAAATTCTCCACAGTTTGGCATCACTAGCTGATTTTCCCCTTGCAAGGCAGAGATGAGAAATAAACTCTGGCACAAGCTCTGTCCCTGCTGTACTGTGCTGAGGACACCCAGCCCAAAACTACTTTTCTGAATGAGTCCTTCACATCAGGCCAAGGCAGAAGGCGAAGCCTATTCCAATCTCACAGCACACACAAATTGAAGGGACTCTCTGGAGGCTTCACGAATTCTCTTCATCGACACTTTGTGCTCAACCCAGATTGTCAGCTCCTATCTCCAGACTTAGAGATAACTCAGTATTTCACATTTTAAACTATGAAGACCCAAAGCAGTTAGATGCTCTATGGCTGGAATTTTTGAAGCAATGTGGATATAGCAATGGGAATCCTGTATGCAAGCAAAAACATGGAAAACAAAGCAAAGTTGGTAAGCAGGAGGAATGTTTTCAGGTATTTTTGATGTTTTTCCTCCCTTTTCTAGTTAAACTTTTAGTTAATGTGAATTACAATGTGAATTCCATCCCTGCCTTTCTGGAAACCCGAAGACTGAACCATCACATGAACTGTGGACCAAGAAGCTGAAACTCGCCAGCAAAAAAGTTGATAGTGGCCAGTTCATGCTTATGCCTCAAAGAAAACAGAATGAAGAAAAGATGAATAACCAATAGTGATCACAATGAGTCTGATATTTACATTTATTTCTTAGGTGATAATTATCTGTTTTAGATAGAATGCAGACTTTTGTTTTGACTTACACTTTTTTTTTTTAGTCTTGGCAATAGCCTTTAAGTAACTGAAAGTACAATTGCTACCCTAAGTTCTAATTTTCTCTTCCAAATGGAACACTGCTATTCTGGTTGGAAAAAAAATCCCTTAATTACCCTGCAGATTAAAAGATAATTACCATATATTTAAATGGTACATAATTGCAATGTTATTAAGCAAAGAATTTATCAAAATTCCAAAGGGTTAATCAAAGAGACATATACCTCAAGACATACACCTTCAAGAAATTATATTCCGTAACTTTTTAGCATCTAATGCTGAAAGTGCAAATTCCTTCCAATGGAACCATTTCAGTACTGGTGTTCTCATGTGTCATCTTCACCAATCTTTACATTTTGTAAGTGACAATGGCAGGCACAAAATGGACACTCAGAGTTTAGGTATTAGTTTGTAGACAATAATACACAAACCCTAGACCATATCCATTTAACAGCAGTAATGAAAACACACTCAAAATATAAAGAGGCTTCACACTGCTTTCACAAGGGAAGATGAGAAGAAATACCTGTTGTAAATACCACCCTTATAATCACATGAAAGTGACAGTATTTTTTAGACTCAGAAATACTCTGGAAGCATAGAGTAACACAGACAGATGAAAACATTCTGTTCTTTCCATTCATACAAAACAAAAATACTCCACAACCGTAGAAGCACAATAGGCTTGCAAATTACCCAACTCCCATGGTGAATACAGGCTTAGGAGCTCCAGAGCAGTGTTTCCATGTGCAGATAATTAAACCCATCTTTCAGTTTCTGGCACAGATCTTCAGAATTGGCTCTCTACTGTTTCTAGTCTGTCAGTGATTAAAATTCACCAACACCTTCTGAGCTTAGTCCCAGTAAAGATTTTGACAAAGAAGTTTTATCTGTTTAGAATCCCCTTCCCTTCACAGCTCTAAATACTGGTGCAATTCAGTGCTCCAGGATTACTCACTTCACTTGGGCCTCTGCTTGCATGAAGATGAATTCCCACTTTCTTGCAAACGCTCTCTGAAGTCTTGCTAAGTTTTCCTGTCAAAAGATGAAAATAGTAAGAACAACTAATTTCTGTAATTACAACAATTGCTTGAGAGTACATTTAGCATGGTGGATATTTATTTTATTCTTTTTTTTTTTTTAACTGAGAAACTAAAGACATGGAAGTCAGTGTTGGTTTCAGGTGAACTATAGTGCAGACAAAGCAAGGCTGTAACACATCTTTTTGGGCTGCAACCCAAAGGGACCTGCCAGGGATAAGTAATGGAGTGTGATGAAGACAGCTTGTGCTCTAGCATGAAAAAAATTATGGACTTGTTCCCAAAAGATAACACTGAGAAGCTTTGTGAAGCTGATGACTTTCATTTCTGATAGCAGATGGCTGCCAGCTGCACGTTTCCCTCTCATCCTCACTTTCCCTCCCCTCTGCACTGTTCTCTTCTCTTCAGGCTTTTGTGAAGGTGCAAAGCCTGAGGTCCCCTGCTTTGCTCAGTCCTGATCACTGCTGAGAGCATTATGCACCTGCATAGTATTGAAGGCTGGGGATTGCCAGGATGATTCACAAAAGGAAATAGCTTGTTTGTCTGAACAATGAACACAGTTACTGCAAAGAATGGCTCCAGACGCAGTTTTGCTCTACACCTGAAGTAACAGCTCTGGTCCAGACCCATTCCAGGGAGTGTAGGGATCTGAACATTTGGATGTGGATATGGCTTCATCACAGCTTAAGGTTAAACTCAGAATATGGCTGGAATTTCAGGCTTAAATTGCACCCTGAAGTTGCATTTCCACAACCTCCCCAAGAAAGGAGGACTTCGACAATTAACAGGACACTTTTCTCCATTACAGCTGGTTTAACAATTTCAAATTTACATTGAAAACAAACATTTGTAGTTCTATTCTTGTTCTCTTTATACTTATCAACTTTACTTCAATAAACTTTTTCAGGCACATGCATTTCAATACAAGAAGAAATCTTCCTTCTAGTTACTTTAAACTCTTGTATAACATGGCAGTTTAAAGGCATAAAGCTTGGCCCTTTTACCACCAACTCCATGTAACAGCTTCAGTCTGTACATACGGAGGAAAGCAGTTAAACAAATGATTTACAGCTGTACTGAATGTGATGATTTCCTTAACTGTGGCTACAAAGAACAACAACTTGTAATTATCTGCAATACAAATTTTTGTGGGTAGTTTTTTCATTATTTTTATTTAATTTTAAATTATGTTCACATGGGCCCTCTGGAGTAAATATGCTGAAGCCAATGAAACATCACCAACAGAAGCTATATTTGAATTGTGCTTATGTTTGACCAATTATAAAAAACCTGAATGCAACTATACAAGCTCAATCATATAATCAAGAGTCCTGCTCTAATCAGCGTAAATGTGGGCTGGGGGACTGTCTGTAAATGCTGCAAGCAGAACCTAAAAATGAAATTCCATTCTCTTGAAGCTCCAGGTCACTGCTGATATCTATGGAGAAGCATTCTCATGCTGCATCTCCAAAGGTATGAGAAGCACTGCTTCTCACTCCTGCAAACCTATTTCTCTCACTTGTGCTGAGCTTACATCCCTTGCTGGATCTGCTTCAGCTCCCATAATGCTTAGGAAGAGTTGGTGCCATTCTTTTCTGAACGTCTCTAATTAAGAGAACAAAGTTTGAATGCAGAAGTAACCTCTAATTGTGCAATGTAATATTCACCAGAAAAATGAGATACTGCCAAGATCTAATTATTTACCATCACTGGAGCATTGCTACTCTCAGTAGGCAACAATGTGCAAAAGTACTTAGCCAAAGCCTGACTGCATGTGTGTGGGAGTATGTGCACTGCTGAACAGCCTTTTGTGGCTTTATGGTGGATCTTTGGAGTACTTACACTTAATTGGTTGGATGTGAGCAATTTTAATGTTTTAATAATGAAATCAACAATATGCAGAAGAAAAAACTCAGCAAAAGGACATGTAAGTGCATGCAGGTTGTTAAATTCCTTCCTTTGTGCTTGTTTGAGATTAGAACTCTTGGGAAGTCGGAATGCATTTCCAGGGCAAACTAGGTAAGTGGCAATTGTTGCATGCTTTGCACTCGACCAAATGGCATATCTCTCCACGTGCACAAATGTTCCAAAATGTAGAAGGTAAGGAAGAAGGAAAAATTTCAGTCTTGGAAAAAAAACCCCAAAAAATCCCACTCTAAAGTATATGCAACATAGATGTTTTCATTGTAATAACCATGACCATGTATGTCCAGCTTCACAAACAAACCCTCTAACAAAAAACTCCATGTATAAAATTCTGCTATTACACTGTTGAGCCAGTAAACAGAAGAAAGTCAACATGACAGAAAAGTTTAGCTGCTCAGAGCACTACACTGCTGGTATTCAAAGAAATACTCAGCCCTGCCCCTCCTGCCTCCATCTTCCCACTCCTCTCCACCCTGCAGCCCGACACCAAAGTTTGAGATGTTTTTATTGATAGTAATTCCAGATCAGAAAACATGCTCTAAATAAAGTTCAGTGATATTTTTCATATGACATATAGAAAATGTTCCCACTCTAATATCTGAGAACTTTTGTAACAAAATGTGTCATTAACAATTTAATTGCCCAGTGGTACACCTGAAAGTCTATAATTTTCCTGTGCTAAAACCTCCTATATAAACCAAGATTTCCTAACTGAAAACAGGACACCAAGCGAAACTTCTGTGAAATTTGCTCCAGTCTTGAAGGGTTCATTATACAGCAGATGCTTTAATGTGGGACACAGAAAAGTCAGGGACATTCATCAATCTTGTTCCTGATGTTGTCTTCGTATCAGCCTTCACACAGTACTGACAACTAAGAAAAAGATACAGTAAAAGCTGACCCCAAAAAATGGCAGCATTCAGTTGGCAAGCAAAGCTATCCCTGCATCCCCCAGCTTTAAACTCTAGCAGCAGTGTACCTACGGCTTCATAATCCGCCAGCTCCAGCCTAGCTTTGTTCTGCATGGTCCGTTTGCAAAGATAGATGGCTAAAGGGAGAAACAGAATGGAAAACAATTACAGAGAGATTATTAGTACTAGAGCTAAAAAAAAGAAGGAAAAAAGTATTCTATAGACAGTTTGTTTTCATCAGAAAGCAACATGAGTCAAGGAATGAAAGGGCTGGACACCCAGCTGACATTGCTTACGACTAATCTCAGAGGCCCTAAACATCTGAGATATCTCATTTAAAAGTGCTGGGAGCAGATGCCAGGACCTAACAAGATATCCACGAAAGGCACAATTGCTTCTGGGTCTGGTAAAAGATATAGTATAAGCAACCTGTTCCCTAAGCAATTTGGGAATATGCAGGTCACAAAGTGACCATCCCTGCACTTCTTTTCTGCAAAGAAAAAATAAAAATAAATCAGGATATTGAAGTGAAAACAGAAATATGGGCCAGATCTTAAAAGCATTATCTGAGCCTTTTTTAATACGCTCCATCCTCTTATTCTTACACATTTCAAATGGTAAAGAGAAGCCTTGTCACATATCGCTATAGGCAGAGGCTGCTGAAACTGATATGGTTTGGAATTCTGAGGGTCAAGATGAGCCCAGCACACACCACCAAACCAGTCCCAGGCTGCCTTCTGGGAAAGCCCCACCTGGATCTGCTAAGCGCACCCCATTTCCATTAAAGGCTGAAACACAAGGTCCACAGCACACTCTGGGCATACAGTCAGGTCTGAACTTAATAGAGGACCAGTGCTACTCATGTAATTCTATTCCATGCCATTTCTGTAATTTTAACATTCATATAATGAGCCAGTATTATGCACTGTAACCAGAGCTGACCAGCTCATTTATATTTACACATCTCAAGGGCAGTTTTTTCTGTAAAGCACTTATGATACCAAATGAAGTAAGTCAGTTGCCTCACAGTGGTTTTTCATGCAAGGCAGTGAACTGCCATTAGCAAGTTAGTTCCTCTCCTGTAAGTGGACACATGCAAATAATAAAAGTATGAAGTGATCCTGGGATTTCAGTTTTATTTAGGTCTACTGCTAGTTTGGGATTAATTCCTGGGAAGACTCCATCTGTACAGGCCTCTGATATGCAAAGTCTGATTATAAGCATATGTTAGAGGTTTCTGGGACAGATGAAAATCTGTCACTACAAGGCTCAGCTAATGCAGCTGAAGCTTGTCCAGCTGTGGGTCAGCTCACAGAGGGTTTTATTTTGGTGTGTACTGCCCCACTCAGTGCCATTGCAGTGCTGACTAACTGACTAATAATCTGACTGCCAAAACCAATTATTTATCTGATACTGCAGGAAAAAACCAGAACCTCCTTCTTCACATTATTTTTCTGGTATTTAAAGAATACATATGAGACACAGCTCACACAGTAATATAGGGTGACTGTAATATCTGAAAATCTTTTTTGCAAATACAAAAGAGCATCGCATTTTCTCATCAACCATTAGCTCACTAGCATAAACATGTAAGTCTAGTTCATCTGCAGATGAGGACTGCAAACGAACTATCACATGACACACACCATTGCAGGCTACTTCTTCACCCCAGCAAATGATTTCCAGAATCCATAATGATGAATAATTATTGCACGGGAAAGAAAAAAACTCAAACTGATTATTCAGGGAGGAGTTCTAAACCAATCTTAGATTATGAGATAAAGGACTTCCAGAAGCTCCCATTTTATGACTGCACACATGTATACACTTCCTCTTCCAAAGCCACACCAGGAGGATGCAACAATTAATTTTATCATTTAACTGTGAAAGCTGCACAGTTCTGGCAGAGACAGCACTATTGCATGCAGACAGCTAAAGATAACAACACTGACATATTTTCTTTATGTATTATCCCTGTCTGCAGGCACTCACATGTTTAAAACACCATGTTGCACTTTATTAACTCATAAACCATGCTCAGTCTTCTCTTTTACCGTATCATCTAGTAATCTTAAAAAAATGAGAAAATAAGTCTGATGTCATGTATCAGAGAACTTTTAGCTATGGGCCGCTGTTAATTATGTACTGGTTTATTGATCAGTCAGATAAGTTCCCAGATGAAGTAAATTTTATTGATCCACATAATGGATTCAGCAACAGATCAGAGGATAGTCTCCCACAAAAGCAATATTAGTATTATTTAAGATTCCCAAGAACCACTATTCTGCTTGCCACAAATCCTGTTGAAATGAACAGAGCTATGGGAGAATGAAGGCAACGGATGGCAAAATCCTGGCCCCACCAAGCTCAATGGCTACAGCTCCAGGGGCTTGAGACACTGCAGGGTTTCAGTTTGTGCATTTGAGATGGGCACACATCTGCCTCTGATGCTGCCATCTGACAAGAAACTTGGCACTTGAAGGGTGTATGTGGCCAACAGTAATTATTTGAAGGACAACTATTTACATCACAAACTAACTTTCTATAATGCAACAATCCTGCTCTCACCATAATCTGTGTTTTCTGGTTCCCAGCAGTTTGAAGGCCAAAAGTATGGTGCCTACAAAGAAACATATACATTTTTGTAATTTAAGAGATGAAAACTGATTCAGATGCAGAAAAACAATACAAGTTCAAAAAGAAGAATCACAAAATCTACCACCCAGATTCTGCCCTCAGGGGAAACACTGCTACAGATTACACTAAAAGTGAGGATGCTGCAAAAACCTTTAATGGTCCTCACTGCAGGTAAATAGAGATGCTGTAATGCAAGCACATCTTGTGGAGGATGTCCAGTGTCCTGATGAAATTTCAGACACTGTTGCCAGCTCATCTGAATGTGGACATCTTATCCACTATCCCCAGAACCTCCTCTTTCCCCAAGAATTCACAAGCAATCTGAATATATATATATATATTTTTTTAAGCACATGAGAAACCTTGTAGTCTTATCTATATGCTACATATACCCCTTGCTTTTCTGGAGTAGCTACCAATGTGGCTGGCAGACAATTTCCTTTTTAGTTGTAACAGATGGCAGAGGTCAGAACTCAGCTGTTTAGAGTCATTCTGAAAGCAGAAGTCCTGCTAAACTTAGTGCTTTGGTCTTCTATCCAGGTCTGCATATTGCAGTTGCTACAATTAACTACAAGCTATATATGACTGTATTTCAGTTTTAACATGAATGAAAAATGACACAGCGGTCATCACATAAATTACAGAACACTGATGCTTTACTGGTTACACATTGCTTTACTGCTGTAGTGCTACAGATGGGCATAGGACATTAACACGCAGAGTTAATATCCTTCCACCAAAGTACAGTGAGAAAACATTGATGATTTAAACAATACAGGGTTCAATGCTCCTACTGACCTGTATCTTATGAATTTCAGAAGATACAGACCTACTCTTAAAGGAAGGACTGAGGTTGAGGTAGAAAGAAACAAGAAGAGAGTAATGGAAAAGAAGCATGATTCTATCAGGTTATTTTTGTAGAAAACAGCTAAGGAGGTGTGTTGGAGGAAATGAAAACAGGCAAAAATACACAAAAATTGTAAGAAAAGACAAGGGAAAGAAAAGTCAATAAGCAGTCAGTTTGATGATATGGTTTACACAGGCTTAAAACAATAAAAAGAAATTAAGTTATATTGAAATGTAGCTCCTGAAAACTGCATAGGACAAGTTCTTATAATGCCATTCTTTTAAAACAGAGAAAAATACAGGTAAATGGACAACCAGTATTACCCCTGCTTCTGTTATGTCTTACATGACAGGAGGATCAGGACTTTCAGAAAAGAAAGGGAATTGTAATGAAAAAACTGAGCCTGAATGATGCCTTGCAACCAGAAGGTGGGGTGAGATAAGAGGACATCTGTGATCTCCTGGGCTTCTTTTTCCACCATGACATTGGTCACATATGATAACACAATACCACATTAGCAGTAGGCATGAGCAGCTGCAATATCAGATGCAAAGAGCAGAACTGGCTTTTCAAATAAAAGCTAAAAAAGAGTAAAATAATGTAAAGGAGGAACAAGAGGGTGAACAGAAGAGAGGTGACAGGAAAGATAAGGGAGCTGGCTGAGACAATGTAACAGAAAAACACAAATTCAGCCAGCAGGATGAGGCAGTAGGACTCCAAGTTTAGACTTACTGCTTCTTCTAAAGTTATACAATCAGTTCAGAAGGAGCTGTTGCAGCACAAGCACTCAGTTATCTAGTGAGCTGACAGTGGCTGATTTTGGACAGGGTATGGAACTCAAGCACAGGGTGCTTAAAAAATTCAGGACATCTGGAGGCACAGGAACATTGAGGGATAGAGATGTCCCAGTTTAGGTGATTGCCAATGTTACACATCCTTTGTAGAAGAGCCAAAGCCTTAAGCTTGCCCTCTCCCACAACAATCTGTAAGCAAGAGATGACAAACATTTGAATTTTTTGCTGTGCCAAAGCTTGAATGTCCAGCTCCTAAGTGTGCCCTGGTCCATTTTGCACAGGAGAATGGCTACTTAATTCTGCATCAGAGTTAGAACCTGAAAGCCATCTTCTTTCTCCTGGTTTGGTTCAAATCTGAGTAAAACAGCTGTGAATTCAGGTATCAAAAAGAGTCACAAGACATAGCCATTCATTTATGTAAAAAACTAAGTCAGAAGGTAGATGAGAGTGATTTGGGATTCTAAAGCAAATTGTTTTGAAGGGACTTAACCTCTCCTAGGGCCTCTACAAAGATAGCTTCAATCCCTGGCTTCATAGATCTAATAGCTGCTTAGGTGTAAAGAGTGGGTGATTTCAGCAGTATCACTGCAGGGACAGAAGAAGGGGCCACAAGGGGGTCAGGGTGCTCACCAACCTGGAAACGATAGAACGTCCCGTCATCCTTAAGGGTGAGGACATGGTCTGAGATGGGAAAGACGTAACCCTGTGCAGCAATAAGACTTCCCAAGTGTATTGCTTCCCCTGTGAAAGAGAAAAAACAGCAGGGATGTGTCAACAAGACATGCACTGCACATTTCTCTGCTTTCGGTTGCAGCTCTGGTGATGACTCGTGAAATCTGGTGCCCACATGCCTCTGTATCCACACCACATCCCTACTACTTTCAGCCAAACCCTGTAAAGCAGGGGTGCAAAAATCAGCCTTACAATACAGATGAAGCACTGCTCAAATGTTTAACCCGTTAGTTTATTGTTAACAAAATGCACATACCAGTCCAGCCCTAGAGTATGAAATTAATTTCAAAGTACATTATCCACTACAGGTGACAGCTGACAAGAAGCCTATTCTGTCAGTGAACTTCACTTGCTTCTACCAAATTCAAAAAGCACCTGCAGCACCTGTTCATTAGCAGGATATTTATTCATAAAGACACATCCTCACACTGTAGCACTGCCCTTTGTTAGAGAAAATGTTGCAAAGGGGAGTTACATATCCTAGCGCTGCCCAGGCAACCTTCCCCAATGAAGAGGCCCATCTGTGCAGATTTTCAAGCAATGTCAGCTACCAAAAGCTGCATCATCTTTCACAGTGTTGAAAAATCATCTGCTTGTGCATGTCCAGATAGCTAATAAAGCTGTTGTCCGCAGCTGAAATTCCAATTTGGGACTTGACAGGACTCATAAGAAGGGATGTGTATACAGAGATGCCCTGCTGGGTGACTCAACACTGCCTGTATCTCTGTTTTAACACAGTGACAGTAAGGCAGCTTAAGAACTGGTAGGTGAGAGCCTGGATTTTTTTCCTTTCCTGAAAAGGAAATGAAACTTCTGGACCTGCAGATCTTTTCTTCCCCTTTTCTCAATAGGTCTTCACTTGACTAAATGATTTTGGTTTCTCTGAAGAGTGAACTATTTGGACTGTGCCCATGCACTGATCATTCTTTATGGCTGATTATCCATTTATCCGTTTGCTTTTTTTGATAAATTAAAAGCCATTATCAGATTCTATGACCCTGGCCAAGAATGACACAGGCACTATGTCCTGTCAGCGGAGGCTACCTTTCTTCACACCATGAAAACTTGACGCTGCATTTGCCTGCTTAACCACACCACGTCCACCAACTTCTTTTTGAAGTCTAGGAACAAAACCTAAAATCAATCAGTCTTCTGTAGGTAGCAACAGTTTCACAGACAGGCTAAAATTCCTGCAATAGTATTTCAGTGTGTTGCAGTATAAGGCATTAGACTTAATTAAGATGTTGACTCTTAACTCTTTTCCTCCTTCTTCTCTCCAATGTTTAAATCAACCATGTACTTTCACTGCCATTTTAGGCTGCAGCAATATAATATTTACTGTCTAATGGCACAAACAATACAGATGGAGCATTTCTCCCCAGCTGTGGTCACCTTACCTGCATCCTCAATGCTGAGGTTCTTCATAAGCCACTGCACAATATCAGAACCTTAACAAACAAATGAACAAAAATTTAAGAAAGCGTTAGACACCGAGACCACAGGGTTTGTGTGCTCTATAGAGAGATAATATTAAGATAGATGCAATAGAACTGGCATGAACTTTATTCCATTTTGCTTTTTATTTCCACTGAGGTTTCAGAATGTTTTTCCTTCTTGTGCCACACTGCAGCTACATGGTTACTGACAGGTACTAAATCCCATGGGGCTTTCTGTGCAACAGCAGACTTGATATACCTGAAGTCAGATATTAGTCTAATGGTTCACTGTAACTGTTCTCTCTCATTTTCTTCTCACCTCAGCATACAGAGATAAGTTTCTGCAGGCACAGGTTAGCAAGGAAACGAAGGAGCATCTACTGGCACCTCACACTTGTAACATGTAAATGTATAAAACTGAAACATCAGTCAAAAACAGATAGGAGGGCCTTACTTATATCAAAGACAAGCAATGTCTTTGAGAAAGAGGTGGTATTCAGAGAGCCTGTAATCACAGGCCCTGTGAGTGGTCACCTTGTGGTGATCACACAAACTGAATGGTGATTGGAAGGAGCAAGCCTTTAATATCCATCAGGAAGTTCATTAGATTTTCAGGGCCCATCCAGTACAATGAAAGTTGTTGCAATCTTAAAAAGAACATCAAATTCTCTAGGATTGATCCTCTGCACGTATACAACCTCTGTTGCTTGCATGGAGATCACAGAAGCAGAAAACTTGTCACTGTTCAGTAGAAAGGCCTGTTACCAAAATACATCATGGCAGGGCAGCAAAATTTATTTAAATCACATACTCAGAAAGTTAAGCTTAAAATTAGACATAATGGTGTGTACAAATCAGCTAATGGAGTTCTCCAAAGTCAAAAGCAATCAGCAAAGACACTTGGATGGAATATGGAAAGCCCATACTAAGTTGCAACAGCATTCATCACAACCTAACAATGCCATGTCTGGATGCAGACATAACATCAAACCCTTCTCAGCATACAGTCAATTTCCACAGAAATATTTGCATTCACATACAGTAGGCTAATAGCCCCAGTAACACTTCATAGAATCATAGACCGGCTTGGGCGAGAAGGCACCTAAATATATCCAGTTCCAACTCCCCTCCATGAGCAAGGATGCCATCCACTAGACCAGGCTGCTCAAAGCCCCATCCAAACTGGTTCAGGCCTACAAAACAAATCCCAGAGGATCTGATTTGTGTGGAGCACTTCTGAACTCATGGGACTTCAGGAGCAGCACAATTACCATGGTTGTTCCAGAAGAACATTTTTCTTCCCACAAGCCCAAACCATCCCCATGCCCTAGCAAACCTTAGATATAATAAAGGCCAGGAGTCACAATGTGCCACAGAGAGACACAACAGGTACTGCTAGTGCCTCAGGTCCCTGCAATCATCTGCAGGTCTGACTCTGCCATACAGGTGAAATTCCCATTAGAAACATGAGCTCTACCCCACACAGAAGGGGACAGCAGCTCCCACTCCCCTGGCAATAGAAGTTGATCCAGAACACTACAAAGAGCACCAGCAAACCCATTCAGACAGGCTTCAGCAGCAGGCAGCAATATGAACCTGACCTACCTCATCCTCCACCCAAGGCAGATGAAACAACAGACCTGTCCCCTGCAGGGAATCAGCAGGGCTCCTGAAGATCAGGAAAGCATCTGATTTCACTTATATACTGGGCAAGCAGATGTGGTCAACAACCAGCAGCTGGGCATTGTCTCAACCTGCCTCGAAGGCAAACCAGATACTAAAGGATCAATCTCACGATCTTGTATTCTCAGCAGTATGGTCATTCTCCACACCTCCCAACTTCACCTAGGAGCATTTTCAGTTGCCACTACTCTATCTGGAAAGTTATTCCAACCTTTTTTTTAAATAGATTAAACTCTTCCTCTAACTTCACAACCTAAGTTTGTTAATGTGCAATTTATATGTATTTTATAACGGTATTGTGATTGAAGGAAAATAATTATTATTCCTCCTTGACAGTTTCTCCTGAGTGTTTCTATGCAGGGCTGACACATTGTCTCTCTGTCTCCACCTCATTAAACCAACCCAACTCTTCCTATGTCCTCTTAAGGTGGTCTCTCCCTATACCATTCAGCAACTTCTCAAATTTAAATCAGCTTCTTTGAACTGAGCTCACCAAAACTGCAGTCAGTACCTTGTAGAACAGCAAATCAGTGCCTCTGGCAATGGTGCCAGCATTTTCTTTTCTCTACTAAAACTATCATGCCAGATGAATCCCAAGGTCACGTCATTTTCTTGAACAATAAATTTATTCAGAAAAATATGTACAAGGGGTGCAAAACTATCTGCGAAAAGGCATCTAGTGAACGCTGTTAGCAGAATAACATATGGGGAATATGTTCAGAGCCATGTTGTTTTGACAAGTTTGTTAATAAAATAGTGTATTTTATAAACACGAGTGTGCCCTTTTACCTTTTACAAAAAAAGATTTTGAAGACAGAGTACAACATTTATGGTTAGAAAACTAATTCAAGAAGATTCAAACTGTAGTGCTTCTGTATTGTCAGAAACAAAACCTCACAAAATGCTCTTGGTTCAAGTGAAACCAGAATCTTTCTTGATTTTTCAGTTCATCCCCTAAACAAAAAAAATCCACCGTTTCTCCTGATTTTGGTCTCTCCTTACAGGCTTGCAGTGATCTCTTAGGCATTGTATTCCCAAGTGACGTGAGACCTGATACCTGACAATCATCTACAGTATCGCATTGGCCATGGGAGGCGAACTGGTTTCTGCATGATCTCCCTTCCAGATCATTTCCCTTTCCAGTACAGGAACATGTAGTTCCTGATTTAGGACTAAGTCCCACTCCATTTTAACATAGAATGATCATGTCCCAGCTCTAGGACACTTCTGAGGAATCTATTCAATTTCCATCAAACAACAATGAAAATCTGAAGTAATGCTGAATGCTGGCTCCCCAGTCTCTGACCCCTCAAAAGAAAGGTTTATGTGGGCAGGAAAGGTTTAAAGGGGTAAGTAAACTGAAGGCACTGACTCAACCAGAACTCCTGTGATCAGCCACTCCAGAATATAAGCAGCAGTTGAGATCAGGAATTTTAATTTGTCTCTGTTAAAAACATGAAGTAATTCCTGAATGCTGCCAAGAGCCTGGAAGATGTTATAGCTGTTCTCCAGTTGTCCTGAGGCAGACAGATTATCTTTCTGCTGAGCTTGCTGAACCATTATTTATCACCTGCCAAGACTGATTACTCACCCTTTGGACAATGACAAGTCTTTCCTTCCTCTGTTAATTACTGTCATCGTTAATAGCCATGTCACTAATTAATATTCAGTCATATTGAAAACTTTTCTGTCATCTACCGTAACACCTTCAGTTTTCAGGGTTACCCTTACACAATGGCTTTGCATTTGCTTGTGGCTGTTTCTATCACTGCAACCTGCTTTTGCCCACCTAGAAATACTACTTATGCCCTTCTTAAAATAAGAAAATTTAGATTTATCCTTCTAAGACACAGTGAAGATTGGAATGATTTCTTTACAACATTGTTGTCTGCCAGACCAAGACACGGATACCTCTATCTGTAAGTCTTCAAGAAAACATCATCTTCACCTCTCCTTTAGATTAAGCCAGGTATATGGTCCACATGTAACTCATCTTCCCAGGAAGGCATTTTCTCACATTTCACAAGCTCTTTCAGAGGGCACCCAAGGAAAACCCTTGACTCTGATATATTTCCACTGTACCCTAACAGGGCATTTGAAATCCTCTGAAAACAAACAGTTGGTCATGTCTTCATAACAGGAAGTGTTACCGAATCCATGCAGAGAAACAGCTTCCATCTTCTCTGTGCTCCTCTCTATACATCTACATTTCCTCTGAGTCAAAATGCTCAGTTCAAGAATAGCCAACATCCTCTGAACACCTATTTCCTCCTCATCTATAATGAAACATATCTTTTTGCCTTAGGCTCTTCTTTGAAGCTGAAGTTGCTTAACACCAACAGAATAGCTGTATTTCTACCTGCAAACATATTCACAATGGCCATTTATCCAGCTACGTGTTTAGAGACAGAGCTGCAGTTTTATATTTACTGCTATTTTCTGCATTTTCTCTTCAGCCTCAGTGACCCCATATTAGTAGCTAGCATACTCTGCTTGCCATTGCCTGTCAACATGACAAATGAGTGGTAAGACACTGAAAGATTAACTTAAAAAATTCACAAGGTGTGGGGCCATTGGCAAGATGCAGTTGGTGAGGTGATCACTACCCCTGTATTTGATACTGTGTCTACTCAACCTGTGTTGTTCTACCTCTTCCAGAAAATGCAGAAAGAAAGATTTGCCCATCTTTTACATGCTGAAATGACAAAGGCAGACAGGACAACTCACCATCCTGAAATACTTCCAAAGATTTGCTGCCTGGAGTGGAGTCTGTACCTCTGGTTCTGAGGTACAGGGACCACTGAGGTCTGCTTGTCACCCAACAGACCAAACATGTCCCTGACAAGGCCTACACCTGTACACATGTGTATGTATACAAATAAAAATTATAGGAGTATTTCTGAAACCTCAGCAAATGTGTGTATCTCTATTTGTCTTTTTAGGCCTGGAAAGACAACTGCCTTTTTGCTGTGCCCTGAGATGGCAGAGCTGACAAGCACTGATGAGTGGAGCTCTGCAGGGATTTGACATGAGACACCTCGTGTGGTCAGGTGTGGCACCAGCGACCAAGGACTACAGCTTGTCCTGTCTCATGGGACTTATTAAGCTGAGCCCGGACCACTGGCTGCCATCAGCTGATGGGGTGGGTTATCCTGGATCTCAGATCATTCACAGCCTCACACTGCACTGACAGATAGTATCAATGAAGCAAGTGAGGTCTTAAAAACATTTTAAAATACCACCTGACCAAACCATGAGAAAATGTGTTATACATATCTGTATACAGAAGGATACAGAAGATTGCTTGGCTATTTCCTGTCTTTTTTTCA